TTATCGCACCCCCTGGTGCAAGCACTGTAAGCAAGTAAGTAAGTAAGCACTGTAAGCAAGTAAGCACTGTAAGTAAGCACTGTAAGCACTGTAAGCAAGCACTGTAAGCACTGTAAGTAAGTATTGTAAGTAAGCACTGCAAGCAAGTAAGCACTGTAAGCAAGTAAGCACTGTAAGTAAGTAAGTATTGTAAGTAAGTAAGTACTATCCCCTTCCTTAAGTCCGGGTAGACCACGCTAGTAGGGAGGGGATCAAAGTAGTTCCGGCCGTCTTAACATCATTTCTCGCCACATTGCGCGGAGAAGATTTACGCCCTCAAATTAGAAGAGTAACCATCAGATGTGGATAGAAGTCTGAACACCGAGGTTTACCCGGCTACTATAGGCTTCCCACTATCACCATATTAAAAGAATTATATATTCTTCTTAATGATTTATATTATATAATAAATATATCTTATATATCTTTATAATTCTACTCTAGTTAATTATAAAGCTATTATATATTATAAGACTAAATTCTTTAAGATTATAAACTTTTAAGCTTTAAATTAATTAGTTAAAGATATTTATTATAATAAAAATATTAAGCTTAATATAGACTATATATAACTATAATAATAAAAAATACGAGAATTCTCTAATATTAGATATTTTAAAAAGTATCGCTTTAGATATACTTCGAAGATTATAATTAAAATTCTTAAGAAAATAATTACTTTAATTGAGAATTCTATATATCGAGAGCTATTTTTTATTTAATTAGAATATTTTAAAGTCGATATAAGCGAATAAATACTTTAATAATTATTATAAGCTCGAATTAATAACGCTTAGTTATATAAATATACTTAGATTAAGATAATTAGCGAGTTAAATCTAAAAGAGCGTTAAGAATATAATATATAATATTTTAAGTAGATAGTAGATAATCTTTAATAATACGTAATATTTACGAATAAGACTTATTATTTTTATAATATAATTTCTTAAAATTATATATTACGTAAATAAGATACTCGCTATAATATTAAGAATCTTTAAAAACTATCGAATCTCGAATTATACTTCGTTTACGTCTCGAAGAGTATCTTCTAATATTATAAAGAGATAGATAAAGACCTATGAATTAAATTTATAAAGTTAAATTTTTCTAAGTGAAATGAAATTTTAGCCCTAGCTCTAAGTCAAATCGAACTCTAATCGCTTACTATACGTTTTTAATCTACTTTTATTACTATAAAATTAATTTAATCTATATAATATATAGATATATATATACGAAGAGAGGCGCGCTAAGATTTAATTAAAAAGGTATATTAAGTATAAAGAATTAATTCGTAATAATTACTTATAAAAAATAGAGAAAGACTATATTCTTATAGTAAGAAGTAAGATTATCGAAATATTAGAAAGAAATAAAGATAATATATTAATTAATAATATAAATTCTATAATATCTTCTATCGTAATAAAAATTTTTAAATAATAAAATAGCTATAGATATTAAACGATTTTAATTTATTTAAATATATATCGTTTAATATTTCTTCTATAGAGACTTAATTAACTATAATCGTCGTAGTAAATTCTTCTCTTATAACGTTTTTATAATAATATATTATATTAATAGATTAAAGATAATAAACTAAGTTATAATAATATTCTTCGCTTACTAAGTAATAATTTAATATAAAATCGTAAAGAGTATATAATATAGAATCTTAAAGAGCTAAGTCGTATTCTTAATAATAATAATTTTATTATCGCTTAATTTCTCCGTAATATTCTTCGTAATATTCTTCGTAGTATTCTCCGTAGTATTCTCCGCATTTATTTATTATAGTTTCTTCTCTTACTTCTTAATATAGTAGAGATAATAGATTAAGTTATAGTAATATTCTTCGTTTATTAAGTAATAATTTAATATAAAATCGTAAAGAGTATATAACGTGGGATCTTAGAGAGCTAAGCCGTATTCTTAACGATAGTAGTCTTATTATCGCTTAATTTCTTCGTAGTATTCTTCGTAATATTCTTTATAATATTCTCCGTAGTATTCTTCGTAATATTCTTCGTATTTACTTATTATAATTTCTTCTCTTACTTCTTAATATAGTAAGAATAATAAACTAAGTTATAATAATATTCTTCGCTTATTAAGTAATAATTTAATATAGAATTATAAAGAGTATATAACGTGAGATCTTAAAGAGCTAAGTCGTATTCTTAACGATAATAATCTTATTATCGCTTAATTTCTTTATAATATTCTCCGTAATATTCTTCTCAGTATTCTTTATAGTATTCTTTATAATATTCTTCGTATTTATCTATTATAGTTTCTTCTCTTACTTCTTCTCTTATAGAGTATTAGATTAAATAACTAGTAAGAAAGATACGTCTTAAGAGATAGTATCGCTAGATTAGAAGATATTATCGCTAACTTAAAAGAAGTATATAAAGAAGAGAATATTCGTTCGAGCTCTTTTAAAAGATCTTTTAACGCGTTTATAAGTAGTAGCAAATAGCTATTAAGCTTTCTTACGGCCTCGATTACTAATAATAATAAATTTATCGAGAGATAACTTAGAGACGTTAGTAGAGACTTAAAGAGGCGAGTAAAAGAGATATATATACTTGAAGTATTTAGTAATATATCGAGAATAAATATATTTATATTAGTAAATTAATAGAATAATAAAAGAAGAATAGTTATATAAATAGATAAAAGAATTATTATTTAATCTTAAACGCGTCTAATATAACTATTATAACTATTATATTTAAATTTTTATTTAATATATTAATAGTAGATTAAACTTTATAATTTTTATAGCATTAGAAAGCGTAAAGTAAGCTTTATAATTTAAGAAATTATAAAGTAACTATATTTATCGTAAGCTAAGTATCTTAAAGTATAAGACTTTTATATATAAATTTTTAATAAAAAAGGCGTAAAAAGATTATTAGACTAACTTAGTCGATCTAATTAAAGAGCGTAATAACTTTAAATTAATAATTAACTATATATATAAATTTAAGATTTTTAAGCTTAGCTCTATCTTATTCTTTTATATATATTAATTACTATTTATTATAATAAGAATAACTCTTTAATTATAAAGATTTCGAAGTCTCGTAAATTTATAAGATATTCTAAACGTGAAATTATTTTAGAATATAAATAATATATTAAAGATTAAAAAGGTTCGCTATTATATAATTTTAAGATTAAAGAATTTAATAATTTAATAACTTAAGAATATTACGTTAATAAGTTTTTATTAAATTATATTAAAAAGATATATTATTTATATATATAATTTAGTCGAGATATCTTAATAAAGAATAATAATAAGAGTTATAATAAGAAATTTAAATTAGTTAAATAAGCTAATTAACTACGTAAGATTTTTTTTTTAAAAATATAATTATTTATTTTATTTTTTTATTTAATTTTTTTTTTTAAAATTTTTTTTATAAATTTTTTAATTTTTTTTTTTTTTTTTTTTTTTTATTATATTTTTTTTTTTTTTTTTTTTTTTTTTTTTTTTTAAAATTTTTTTTTTTTTTATATTTTTTTTTTTTTTTTTTTTTTTTTTTTATTTTTTTTTTTTTTTTTTTTTTTTTAAAAAAATAATATTTTTTTTAATTTTTTTTTTTTTTAATAAAATAAATATAATATATATTATTTTTTTTTTTTTTTTTAAAATTTTTTTTTTTTTTAAAAATTTTTTTTTTTTTATTTTTTTTTTTTTTTTAAAAAATTTTTTTTTATTAAAAAGTAAAGGCCCATGAATTAAATTCATGGGGGTGGATTTTTCAATTTGTCTAAGGGGTCAAATTTTCTAAGTCAAATGGAATTTTAGCCCTAGCCCTAAGTCAAATCGAACTCTGATCGCTTGCTGTGCGTTTTTGACCTACTTCCACCACTACAAAATTGATTTGATTTATGTGATATACAGGCATATATATGCGGAGAGAGGCGCGCTAAGGCCTAATTAGGAAGGTGTATTAAGTGTGGAGGATTGATCCGTAATAATTGCCCACAAAAAATAGAGAAAGGCCATGTTCTTATGGCAAGAAGTATCGAAATACCGGAAAGAAATGGAGACAACGTGCTAATTAGTGGTGTGAATCTCACAATATCTCCTGCCGCAGTGAAATTTTTCGAATAATGAAATAGCTGTAGACATCGGATGGTTTCAATTCGTTCAAATATGCATCTGGAGAGCATATGACGTGGGATCTTGGAGAGCTGAGCCGTGTTCTTGGTGCTGGGGGCCTTGTTGCCGCTTGGTTTCTCCGCAGTGTTCTCCGCATTTGCCTGTTGTAGTTCCTTCTCTTACTCCTTCTCTTGTAGAGTATCAGACTGAGTGGCTAGCTGAGTGGCTGACTGAGTGGATGACTGATATGACGTGGGATCTTGGAGAGCTGAGCCGTGTTCTTGACGATGGTGGCCTTGTTGCCGCTTGGTTTCTCCGCAGTGTTCTCCATAGTGTTCTCCGCAGTGTTCTCCGCATTTGCCTGTTGTAGTTCCTTCTCTTACTCCTTAATGCAGTGGGGATGACAGGCTAAGTTGCAGTGGTGTTCTCCGCTTGCTGAGTGATGATTTGATGTGGAACCGTGGAGAGCATATGATGTGGGATCTTGGAGAGCTGAGCCGTGTTCTTGGTGCTGGGGGCCTTGTTGCCGCTTGGTTTCTCCGCAGTGTTCTCCGCATTTGCCTGTTGTAGTTCCTCCTCTTACTCCTTAATGCAGTGGGGATGACAGGCTAAGTTGCAGTGGTGTTCTCCGCTTGCTGAGTGATGATTTGATGTGGAACCGTGGAGAGCATATGACGTGGGATCTTGGAGAGCTGAGCCGTGTTCTTGGTGCTGGGGGCCTTGTTGCCGCTTGGTTTCTCCGCAGTGTTCTCCATAGTGTTCTCCGCAGTGTTCTCCGCATTTGCCTGTTGTAGTTCCTCCTCTTACTCCTTAATGCAGTGGGGATGACGGGCTAAGTTGCAGTGGTGTTCTCCGCTTGCTGAGTGATGATTTGATGTGGAACCGTGGAGAGCATATGACGTGGGATCTTGGAGAGCTGAGCCGTGTTCTTGGTGCTGGGGGCCTTGTTGCCGCTTGGTTTCTCCGTAGTGTTCTCCGTATTCGCCTGCTGTATTGACTTCTCTTGCACTGGCTGAGTGGATTGGTGTGAGACCGTGGAGAGTAGGCCTGTTGTGTTACTGCTGCTGATGACTGTCTCCGTAGTGTTCTCCGCATTCGCCTGTTGTAGATCCTCCTCTTGTTTAACTGAGTGCGAGGGTATCGACGCGTTTATGAGTAGTAGTAGGTAGCTGTTGGGCTCGCTTGCGGCCTCGATTGCCAGCAGTAGCGGATTCGCCGAGGGGTGGCCTAGGGGCGTCAGTAGGGGCTCTAAGAGGCGGGCAAAAGGGGTGTACGTGCCTGAACCGGACGCGTTTGGTGTGACTACAATATTTGAATGTCAGTTTAACCCACTTATCGCTGGCTTGGGAGGAGTATGTAGGGGAGGACGTATCCGTTCGGGCTCTTTTTGAGGGCCTTTCTAACGCGTTTATGAGCAGTAGTAGGTAGCTGTTGGGCTCGCTTGCGGCCTCGATTGCCAGCAGTAGCGGATTCGCCGAGGGGTGGCCTGGGGGCGTCAGTAGGGGCTCTAAGAGGCGGGCAAAAGGGGTGTACGTGCCTGAAACGTTGAGTAACCTTTGGGCGAGGGGTACCGAAGACGATTGTGTTCATATTGGTGGAATTGGTAGAATGTGGTAGAATGGTGGAAGAAGAATGGTTACACAAACAGGTGGAAGGATTATTATCCGATCCCGGACGCGTCTGGTGTGACTACCATGACTACCATATTTGAATGTCCATTTAATCCACCAATAGTAGGCCAAACTTCATAATTTTTACAGCGTTAGAAAGCGCAAAGCGAGCTCTACAATTTGAGGAATTATGAAGTAACTGTATGTATCGCAAGCTGAGTACTTCAAAGTGTAAAACTTCTACATACAAATTTTTGATGAGGGAGGCGCGGGAGGGCTACCGGGCTGACTCAGCCGGTCTAACCAAAAAGCGTAGCGGACCCGAATTTATGATTGGCTGCACATACAAATTCAAGGTTTCCAAGCTCAGCCCTCCCTTATTCTTTTATATATACTGATTATTCTCTATATATATAAATATATATTAAAACTAAGTCGAAGAAATAGACTATATCGCTTATATTGATTATATTATTAACTTATTTCTCGCTATTAAAAAAATTTCGTTAAATTCGAGCGATTCTATTAATTTTTTTTTTTTTTTTTTTTTTTTTTTTTTTTTTTTTTTTTTTTTTTTTTTTTTTTTTTTTTTTTTTTTTTTTTTTTTTTTTTTTTTTTTTATTTTTTTTTAAAAAAAAAATTATAATAAATTTTTTTTTTTTTTTTTTTTTAATTATTTTTTTTTTTTTTTTTTTTTTTTTTTTTTTAAAAAAATATTTTTTTTTTTTATTTTTATATAAATTATTATATATAAAAAATATTATTTTTTTTTTTTTTTTTTTTATTTTTTTTTTTTTTTTTTTAAAAAATTTTTAAAAAAAATAATTTTTTTAAAAAATTTTTTTTTAAAATTTTTTTTTTTTTTTTTAATTATTTTTTTTTTTTTTAAAAAATTATTTTAAAATAATTTTTTTTAATTATAAAAAAAAAAGAAGTTCTTATATTAACGGCTACAATCTCATATAAATTTTTATAAGTTTCTAAGCTTAGCTTAACTAATATTCTTTTTTTTTTTTTTTTTTTTTTTTTTTTTTTTTTTTTAATTTTTTAATTTTTTTTTTTATTTTTTTTTTTTTTTTTTTTTTTTTTTTTTTTTTTTTTTTTTTTTTTTTTTTTTTTTTTTTTTTTTTTTTTTTTTTTTTTTTTTTTTTTTTAATTTTTTTTTTTTTTTTTTTTTTTTTTTTTTTTTTTTTTTTTTTTTTTTTTTTTTTTTTTTTTTTTTTTTAATTTTTTTTTTTTTTTTTTTTTTTTTTTTAAAAATTTTTTTTTTTTTAAAAAAAAAATATTTAATAAAAAAATTTTTTTTTTTTTTTTTTTTAAATTTTTTTTTTTTTTTTTTTTTTTTTTTTTTTTTTATAAGATAGAAAGTATTAAAATAATATAATTTAATTAAAATTTTTTTAAATCGCTCTTAAATCGTAGCTATTAAACTTTAGATTAATAATAGATAATTATTACTAGTTTTCTCTATAAGATATTAAATAGTTAATATCGATTAAGATTATTAACGATAATAGCGAGATTAATTAATAACGCGATATTATCTTAAAAGATCTTTATAAATAGAATTATAAAGAAAGTATATTCGATAAGTTCTATATAAAGTAATTATTAAATATTAAAAAGTAAGTAATAGTAATTTCTAGATTTCAAATAAATTCAATTCATTTAAAAATACGTTATTCGAGATTTTCTAGAGTTATCTATTAATTTACTAAAGAAATAAAGATCTTATTTATTATAAGAGTAATATACTCTAATAAATTTCTTTTAATATATATCTATATCTATACTATATAAATCTCTTTTAATATATATCTAATAATATATTAATAATATCGAGTTTATTAATTTATTATAAGACTTTTAATCGTAAGTAAAAGAGAAGTAGAAGATCTTTTAAGAAGGAAATTAAGCGAGATAGAAAATTAAATTATTGTGAATTATTTATATATAATTCGAAAATTATAATATCGCTTTTAAATATTAATATATTAAATATATAATTAATTTATATTAATAAATTAATCTAGAGCTAAATCGATAGTATAAAATTATATCTATAAGTCTTTCTAGATACTAGCTTAGTTTATTTTTTAGATAACTATTTATAAATAATAGAGATTATTCGCTTACGACTATTCTTTATATTAATCTTTTATTATTTACTTTTTTAATTTTTTAATACGCTTTTTTATATACTTTTTATTAATTTAAGTAATAACGATCTTAATAGAAGAAAGATTATCGTTTATAATAAGATTTTAAATTTATTAAGTTTAATATAAGAATTTTTAAGAAATATAATAAGTTATTTATAAAATCGAAATTATCGCTTTATAGTATATTCTATATATTCTTATTCTTACTCTTATCTATACTCTTATTAAGAATACTTTTTAAAATTACTTACTCTTTTTCTTCTTCTTTTTATTTAATAAAGTCGTTATTATAATAAATTTTCTTTAAGATATATTTAAAATTATTCTTATTATCGTTTAAGATTATAATAATTTTATATTTATTAAATTTATCTAGTTTCAATTATAGATTTGAAAATATATAAAATAATTTAAATTAAGACTTTATTTTAGAGTTAAAATTAATCTTATTTTCTTCTTTAGTCTTCTATTCTTCTTACTTAAAATTTATCTTAATTCTAATAGATTTTCTCTCTTTCTTAATTTTAAATTTATTTTTATAAAAAGATATAGGTTTTAATTCTCTAGATTTTATATTATCTTCTAATTCTTTCTTAAATAATAATATATAAACGATATCTAGAATTAAGAAAGTCTATATTATATTATTTCTTTCGAAATTTTTAATAGTTAGATTTTATAGATATTAGTTATATCGCTAGATATAAGAGTAAATATAAAAAATATTTTAACTTTAAATTCATTTATAAAAAGAATTATTAAACTCTAGATAATTATTTATTAATATATTAAATTTTATTAGCAAATCTTAACTATTTAAGTTTACTTATAAGAAATCTATTAATAAAGTCTTATAGCGTATAATTCTTTTAGAATACTCGTTATTCTACTATAATATTAGTTATCTATATTATAGATATTAGTATATATTAATAACTTATTAATCTAAAAGAATCTTACTTTTAAATACTCTTTTATATTAAACGAGTAAAGATATATAAATTAATTTTTTTTTTTTAATTAGAGCTATCGAGTAAATAGATAAGCGATCTTTAATAAGCGATATTTGAATTCCTTACGTTTTAATAATTATTATAAGCGTATTCTATATTCTTAATATATTACTTAGTTCTTTAATCTATTTAAGTCTAATATATCTTAATAAAAATATTTATTTACTACTTAATATCTTTCTTTTATTTATATAATTTAATATCTTAATTATCTTATTTAATATACTTATATTATTATTATATCTATATTAATTCTAATACTATAATTAAGATTAATTATTTTTATTTTATTTATATTAGCGAATAAATTTAAAAAAACGCGCTAATAAAAGATTTAATAAGAAATTAAATTAAATTATTATATATTTAAATAAATCTATAAAATAGATAAATTAATATATAGTATAATATAAATACTCTATAATAAAAGATTTAATTGTTTATCGATTCCTATTTAGACTTTATTTAACTAGATATTACTCTTAATATTAAAAAACCTTTATACTAGAAAATTATCTTCTAAAAAAATAAAAAATAAATCTAAAGAAGTTATAAAATATCGTAGAAGATTTTATTATTTTAAAAACTATAAAAGAATATTTTTAAAAATTAGATAACTTATAACGTATTAAGTATAAAGATTTAAAATTTATAAAGATTATTATTAAGTTAATTATAATATAAATATCGAGAATAATACTCGCGATTAATATATATCTTATATTTATTATTAAAACTAGTTTAAATATAATTATTATATCTATAAATATTAAGATTAATTTAAAGCTAAGAAAATTAATATACTATAATTATAATAAAAAAGACTACTATTAAAAGAACTATATAATATCTACTTAAATTAAAATTAATTAAAAGATCTTTAAAGAAATACGACTTTACGCGATAGATATAAATAAAGAATTTAAAATTAATAACGTTAATATTATAAATAGTAATAAATCTTTATTAAATTCGAAAAAATAATTAGTCTCTTTTAAAGTTATAAGAAGAGATACTTATAAAGTATATCTAATAAATACTCTTAATAACGCTTTAGACTTACTGGCCGGAAAGGTATAGTATATCTCATGAGATATTTCATATCAAGTGATATTATATCGTACCCGGGTATGGTATGAGTAGGGTCGGATACCATACCATTTTTCTGGTATGGGTTCGGGATCTTGGCGGTATATCCCACGGTATGGTATATCTGTGATATCATATCATGGAATGATATATGTATGGGATATCCCCACTGAGACTTCTATATTTAGAAGTATAAGTAGCTATTCTGATCATCATTCTGGCCAATCATGGCTACCACTATCATCTACCATGACTGCCACTATCATGGCTGCCACTACCATGACTGCCCCTACCATGACCTGCCTCTACCATGGCTACCCCTATCATGGCTGCCACTACTATAACTACCACTACCATAACTACTACTACTATGGCTACCATTACCATGACTATTATATGATAGTAGGCTATTTTAATAATAAATAGTGGTAGCCATGATAGTGGTAGCTGTTAGAATGTCAGGTACGTGATGTGTAGAACGGACGGATCAATTCTCCAGAACCTCTCCGGGGCCAGGTTCTAAATATAGTACAAAATTAGGTAGCTGGAAAACATGGTGGCTGGGATGCGCGGGGGCCACATTTCGATGGTAGGCATGGTAGTGGCAGGCATGGTAGTGGCAGGCATGGTAGTGGCAGGCATTGGTAGTGGCAGGCATTGGTAGTGGCAGCCATGGTAGGGGCAGCCATGGTAGGTAGCCATGATAGTGGCAGCCA